TGGGAAAAGTCGTCTGGAAGCCTAAATGTCCTTTCTTTCCTTCTTGGGGCCGGCATTAAGCCTAATCCGCCAAGCAATAAGTCGGCCATTTTGTTTTGTTTGGGGAAAGTTTACCCTCGATTAGTGAGTTAATCCACCTCGCTAGGTGTGTTGAAATTAACCTTTATTTTAACCCAGGGATAGTGCTAATCGCGCTTTCAGGAACAGAAACTAATCGTGGGTTAGATTCTAATCTTGGGTTAGGGTGATTTAATCGAGAGTTAGCGCTAATCGGCTTTCGAACAACCGGGGCCAGGCTGTTAAGCTCGTGGACTCCATTTCAGGGTGGATGCCCGTACATGCCGGTGTCCTGCAGGGCACCAAATTGGGCCCAATCCTTTTTCTGATAATGATTAATGACATGGTCATTCACTCCTCCCTCCGCTCGAGCCACTGGAAGTACGTCGATGATGTAACAATATCTGAGGTTACCAGTATGGGGGAAGCGTCATTTCTGCGGAACGACATCGACTGCATTTCGCAATGGGCCCAGCAGAACAACATGAATCTCAACCTCAAAAAATGCAAGATCATGACCATTTTTCCACTCAAAACAAAGCCTGTTCCTCCAATGCTTTCCATCAATAATTTACATTTAGAGGCTGTGTCACCCCACAAAGTACTTGGTCTGACCCTGAGTAATACCTTGAAGTGGAACGATAACACCAACGACATAGTTTCCAAGGCGTCCAAGCGACTGCACATCCTCAGGGTCTTGAATCGCGCTGGGGTCCCTCCAGTGGATCTTGTCACCATCTATAGCGCTCTGGTTCGCTCTGAATACTCTTAAGCTTCTGTTGTCTGGGCTTCCTACCTTTCTCGCTTCCTCATTGACCAGCTTGAGGCTATCCAGAAAAGGGCCCTGCGAATCGTATATCCTGACCTCCACTATCAACAGGCCGTTGTGCAAGCCAACATTACCAGTTTAGAGGATAGACGCGCCCACCTGTGTCTCAAAGTGTGGCACAATATCAAAAATAATCCGGTCTGCCAGCTGCACCGTCTCCTCCCTCCCGTGCGATCCGAGTGTCTCTCTTACCATCTTAGGAACAGTAGTAGTTCCAGCCGTTTTCAGTATAGAACAAAACGCTTTGGTTCTAGCTTTTTTCCCAGCAATGGTGAAAAACAACTAATCTTCTGAGTTTGGTTATCTCTATTATAGTATTTTATCTATATCTGAATTGTAAATAATCTGTAATTAGCCTGTAATCCCAGTCCCTTTGAAACAAATGTAATTTTATTCCTTGTTGTAACTTATGTAAGCACATTGTAATTCATAGTCTTTATGCCACTATGTGTATTTTAATAAACCATCATTATTTTTATTATTATTATTATTATTATTATCATTATTATTAGATGCATTATGTTCCTGGTGAGGGGTACTCCTCTAACAATTTATTCCTTAATGATATTGGGATACTGAATTTCTCCTTCGTAGTTGAAAACTAATTTTAACGTACCCTCACAACCACTCAGTTAAATATATCATTCTTAAAAACTTTAAATTACTTCAAAACGATCCAGAGACAAGCACTATCTTTTCGCAGCCTCCGCTCATTTCATTCAAACGCGACAAAAACATAGGCAATTTTTTGGTCAGAAGTTCTTTTCAGACTAATGACCAACCAGGCACTTTTAAATGCGCTCGTGCACGATGCAAAACGTGTCCTTTCATTCACAACACTGATAAAATATCGGGACCTAAACGATCCATTAAGATCACCGATCACTTCACGTGCACCTCCGCCAATGTAATCTATTGCATAACTTGCACTTATTGCAAAAAGATATACATCGGCGAAACAGGCAGAAGACTAGGTGACCGATTCCGAGAACACCTTCGAGACGTGGAAAGGAATGACAAGGACACATCGAAACCAGTCGCTAGACATTTTAATTTACCTAATCATTCTAAGCAACATATGGCAATCTGCGGTCTTTCCTT